ATGCTTTGAAACTGGAGATCAACTGCAAAAAGAAAGCAGGAAGAACCACAAATATGTGGATATTAAACAACATGCTACTGAAGAATGACTGGGTCATAGACGAAATGAAAGGGGAGATCAAGAGATACATAGAAACAAATGAGAAAGTATAAAATATCAAAACTTTTGAGACACAGCAAAAAAGTAATAATAAGAGGAAAGTTTATGTCATTACAGGCCTATTTCAAGAAACTAGAAATATCCCAAATAAACGACCTAATATTATATCTTAAAAAACTAGAAAAAGAAGAACAAATGATGCTCAAAGCAAGCAAAGAAGAAAGGAAAGAATCAAAATTAGAGTAGAGTTAAATGAAATTAAGAAAAAAAGACTACAGAAAAAATTAATGTAATGTAAAAATTAATGTAATGTAATTAATTTTCTTTGAGAAAATTAGTAAAATTGATGAACTTACGGCTAGACTCAGTAAGGAGTCTAAAGAGAAAAAGAGAAAGGACACAAATAAAATCAGAAATGAAAGAGAAGTTACAAAAGATACCACCGAAATACAAGGATCATACAAGAATACTATGAAAAATTATATGCCACCAAATTTAATAACCTAGAAGAAATGGACAAGTTCTTAGAAATATACAACCTTCCTAGACTGAATCATGAAGAACTGGAAAATCTAAAGAGACTGATCAAAAGTTTGGAAATTGAAACAATTATCAAAAACCTTCCAGAGAGAAAAAGTTCAGGACCAGATGGCTTCTCTAGTGAATTCTGCCAAACTTTCAAAGAAGATTTAATACCTGTTCTTCTCAAAATTTTCCAAAAAAGTGAAGAAGAAGCAATCCTTCTTAACTCACTTTATGAGGCCAATATTACCCTGATATCAAAACATGGTAAAGACAACACAAAAGAAAACTATAGACCAATATCTTTTATGAACACAGATGAAAAAATCCTAAACAAAATACTAGCAAATTGAATACAGTAACACATTAAAAAGATTATATACCATGATCAAGTGGGTTTCATCCCAGGGGCACAGAAATGGTTTAACATACGCAAATTGATCAATGTGATACACCACATAAACAAAATAAAAGGATAAACAAAATAAAATTCATATGACTTTATCATAAACAAAATAAAATTCATATGGCTATATCAATAGATGAAGAAGAAGCACTTGACAAAATACAGCATCCATTTATGACTGAAACAATAAAATGGGTATAGAAGGAAAGTATCTCAACATAATAAAGGCCATATATGATAAACCCTCAGCTAACATCATATTAAATGGTGAAAAACTAAAAACCTTCTCTCTAAGATCAAGAACAAGACAAGGCTGTTTGCTATTGCCACTATTATTCAATATACTATTGGAAGTCCTAGCTAGAGCAATCGAGCAAGGGAAAGAATAAAAGGCATCCTAATAAGAAACAAAGAAGTCAAATTGTCCCTTTTTGTGGATGATATGATTCTCTATATACAAAACCCTAAAGACACCACTAAAAACATATTAGAAATAATAAACAAATATGGTAAAGTTTCAGGGTACAAAAATCAATGTACAAAAATCCAAAGTGTTCTCATACTCTAATAATGAATTTTCAGAAAAAAAATTAATTTCTTTTGCAATTGCTACAAAAAGAATAAAATACCTAGGAATAAACCTAATGAAGCATGTGAAGGACCTATACACTGAAAACTATAAGACATTATTAAAAGAAATTGAAGAAGGCACAACAAAATGGAAATATACTCTGTGTTCACGGTTTGGAAGAATCAACATAGTTAAAATGCCCTTATTACCTAAGTGTTATACAGATTTAATGCAATCCCCATCAAAATCCCAACAGCATTTTTCAAAGAAGTAGAACAAAAAATCATCAGATTTGTATGGCAGCACAAAAGACCGCGAATAGCCAAAGCAATTCTGAGAAAAAGAGCAAGGCCAGAGGTATCACTCTGCCTGACTTCAAAGTATACTACTAAGAGACAATAATCAAAATGGCATGGTATTGGCAGAAAAACAGACACACAGCCCAATAGAACAGAATTGAGAGTCCAGAAGTAAACCCCCAGATATATAAGCTAATAATTTTTAACAAAGGAGCCAAAAATGTACAATGGAGAAAGGAAAGCCTCTTCAATAAATTGTGCGAGGAAATTGGAAAACCACATGCAAAAATGAAACTGGACTGCTCTCTATCATCATACACCAAAATTAACTCAAAATGGTCAAAGACCTGAAATAATACATTGCATAAAAGAAAACGTAGGTACTAAGCTCATGGACCTTGGATTTAGAGAGAGTTTTAAGAATTTGACCTCAAAGTCAAGGGAAATAAAAGCAAAAATAAAAGAATGAGACTATATCAAATGAAACAGGCTCTGCACAGCAAAGAAACCAACAAGACAAAGAGGCAACTATCTGAATGAGAGAAGATTTTTGCAAACAACACCTTCAATAAGAGCCTAATATCCAAAATATATAAAAAACTCATACAACTCAACAATAAAAAAAAAATCCAGTTAAAAAATGGCCAGAGCATCTGAACAGACACTTCTCCCAAGAAGACATACAAATGGCCAACAGACATGTGAAAAGTTGTTCGACTTCATTAGCTATTTGGAAAATGCAAATCAAAACCACAATGAGATACCATCTCATCACACCTGTCAGAATGGCTGTCATCAACATGAGAAGTAATAACAAGTGTTGGAGAGGTCGTGGAGAAACAGAGACCCTCATACACTGCTGGTGGAATGTAAATTGGTACAGCCACTATGGAAATCAGTATGGAGTTTCTCAAAAAACTAAGAATAGAATTACCATGTGACCCAGCAATCCATCTTCTGGGTATTACCCAAAAAACTTGAAAACATTTATCTGCAAAGATATATGCACCCTGATGTTCATAGCAGCATTATTCACGGTGGCTAAGACATGGAAATGACCGAAGTGTCCTTCAATAGATGATTGGATAAAGAAAGTGTGGTACATATGTACAATGGAATATTACTCAACCATAAGAAAAGATGAAATGCTGCCATTTGTGACAACATGGATGGATCTAGAGATTATCATGCTAAGTGAAATAAGTCAGACATATGATTTCACTCACATGTGGGATATAAAAGTGAAAGCAACAAACGAATATGACAAACAGAGGCTAATGGACAGGGACAGTGGATTAGTGGTTACCAGAGGGAAGTGGGGGAGGTAGATAAGGGTAAAGTGGGTCAAATATTTGGTGACAGAAGGAACACACAATGCGATATGCATATGGCATATTGTCGAATTGTACCCTCAATAATTTTAATAAAAAAATTAAAGAAAAAGATCTGAAAGAAAAAAAAAATAAAGTGAGGATAACCTAAAACTGAAAGCCCCAGAGCTTTAAAATCAAATAGCAACTTTTGCCATGGGAATCTGGAGATAAAATTTAAAAGTGAGAAATGTAGTTCAGCTTGAGTGGGAGGTGAATTGAAGTCAGACAGAACAGTTCGGTTTCGTAATGACAAAGCATTGCTAATACAGGCTGTTTTTTCTCTTGACAAATACTTTTTCCATTCCTAATTGGCTGAGAGTGTAGACTCTGGCGCCAGACCTCCTGGGTCCAAGCTACAGTTTGCTTAATTTCTTTGTGCCTCTTCCTCATTTGTAAAATGGGGGTAATAACACATTTACCTTATAGGGTTATTGTGGGTGGCGTTTGTTAAATGGTATGTAAAGTACTGAGAATAGTACCCTGTACCTTGTAATACTCAGTAAATAGTAGCTATTTTTATTATTGTGATTACTTTCTGCCATGTGACCTTGGTAATGGCTTGGGGAGTGAGGTGGCAGGAGCACGCTCCCCTCTCTTCCAGTCTAGGCATAACCTATATATGAGTTTGCTGCACTTCTGCACTGGGGCTAATTAGGGCCTTGTCAATGTCTCTTTCATCTGAGTTGCCCTTTATCGGGGGGTCACAGACTCTACAGTTGGACCCAAGAACCTAGTAGAACCCAGTACCTTAGCCACAAACACTGCCCGAGGCTCCCTAGGCTTCCAACGGCTGCTGCAACTTCAATCTGCTTAAAGCTGCGGAGTCAGGACAAAGGAGAAGCCTACACACCAGACGTCTGCCTCTCCTGAAGTTTGGATGTACCTTCATTTCCCTTTCCAGTCTCCAGCTGTTGAGTATTCAGTTGCCAAAATTGCATAGACTCTGCAGCCAAACTGCCTGGGTTTAGATTCTGCTGTGCCACTTTTTTGAATTTATTTTACTTCAATTTTCTATTTTAATGTGGAGATAATGATGCCTCTAAAGTTCTGCTGCATCAGAGGATAATGTGCTGTGGTTAGCCATTTAGGACATTAAAGTGCCATAAACTGTCACATTGTAAAAAAGGGACATTGTAACCCCAGAGGATCGTGTCAGTTCTAAGCATCAAAATCTGAAAAGAATGAAGATGAATCCCAGGATCTACCCTTGGCCTTTAAAATATTTAAGATGCCATTGTTAGCTTACCTGGTGCTCTTTGCTGCTTTTTGTTAGAAAGGAAAGAAGGGAAATAAAATTCAGATTGAGGTGTCCAGCTATGGTGGCTTCTGATAAATGAAGGTTTTTATTGTGCATTTATAATTATATATAGGACAAGGGGCTCAGGTCTCAGAGGTGGTTTGTTTATACAAATGAGAATGGTCAGGAATGTTAGCACTGGACTCAGTGGTGGAAGATTGGGGTTTGGTGTCCAGGCACTACCCTTAGTCGTGTGACCGTGGGCAGCTCACTGCACCATTCTAGTCCTCAGCGTCCTCATCTCAACACTACTATCCTGCCTGGCTGGCAGGGCTGTGGGGTGGCCTGATTGCAGAAGCCGTTTGAAACTGTACTGGAATGGACACAGGGGAGGGGGCTTGTCAGGGTTATTTCTTCGTTCTGGGGTCTATGTTTGGGGTTATGTTTGGTGGTCATGAAAGCTGCAGCATTTCTGATTGTTTTCTTACTGCAGGTCATTTCATGGGCAACAACACAGTGCTCAATGTTTTGCTACGTGAAGGCTATGAGGTAGAACACGCCCCTGCTGGACGACCCATCAACAAGTAACCTTCCCGTGCTTCTGTGCTGGCTGGGGAGCAGCTGGGGGAAAGGAGTGGATGCCCACAGGGCTGCCTGGGCGCCAGGGTGGGCTATATCCTGAGGGGCTCCAGAGTGGCCCCCAGCATGGCATGACTCTCTGGCCTAGAAATGGTCACTCAGTGGACACTTAGCACCCAGCTCAGCTGGGTGTCCCCTTGGCAGGGTTGGCTGGCCTGACACTGTGGGCAGAAGAGACTACACTGGCCTTTTCCTCAGCAGTGCTTAGGGCAGACAAGAAGGTGAAGGGAAGGTTGCTTCATGGTCCTAGGGGCCTGTGGAGGGTTGACCAGGCTTAATGCTCAGTGCTCTTCTATCTGGGCTTTTAAGACATTTCAGGGAGTCAGATGGTAGAATCAATCATAAGATAAGATCAGAAGGGCTGGAGGCACTGGGAGTGCCTGTCAAACCGACCTGGGGCAGGAGCAAAGTCTCTTCTTTTTCTCTGAGCTGTTTCCACCCCCTGGGTCTGTTTATTTCTCAGTTTTACTCAGAGCCACCCCCTGGCCCTGTGGATCCTTCTGTAAAGAGCTCAGGAGGCCCAGTTCCCCACCCTTCAGCAATGCTGTTGACCCCCTCTCCCCTGGCCTCCCCGATAGTCTACCACCCATTTCCTGTTCTAGTGAGCACAAGGTGGTGCTTCCCTCCTGCTCTGTACTAGTTTGCTAGGGCAGCCGTGACAAAATATCACAGACTGGTGGCTTAAACAACAGAAATTTAATTTCTCATAGCTCTGGAGGCCAGAAGTTCAAAATCAAGGTTTAGTTTCTCCTGAGGCCTCTCTCCTTGGCTTGCAGATGGCCTCCTTCTCATTGTCCTCACATTGCCTTTCTTCGATGTGCATGCAATCCTCGCATCTGTGTCCAAATCTCTTCTTAAAAGGACACGGATGGAATTGGATTAGGGACCGCCCTAACGGCCTCATTTTAACTTAAGCACCCCTTTAAAGGCTCTTTCTCCAGATAGTCACATTCTGAGGAACTGAGTGTTAGGGCTTCAACATATAAATCCAGGGGGATGCAATTTAGCCCGCTCTCCATTCCTCTAGCCCTACTCCCTGCAGATTGTGGTTACCAGAGCCCCCTCCTAGCAGAGATCTCAGCTGGACCGAGAGTCCTAAGGAGGAAAGTGCCCCGTCCCTCTGCTGAGGAGATGGAGAAGGGGCCCCTGCTGTCATGTCTGCCTGATGGCTGCCCTTCTCCTCTTTCCCATCGGAAGACCCACCTTCACCTCATGGCATTTCAAGCCAAGTCCTCACCCTATCCCCTGACTTCAGAGGGGTCTCCCTGAAAGTCCAGTTTCCGTCCCAGGAGCCATGATTCTCTCAGCGTCCTTTTCAGTGGGATAGCTTGAATGCACCCTCAGCTCGTCTTACCCTCCCCTCTCTTCATACCCTACGTTCAGTGTGTAGCGCTTTCTGGTTCACAAATGCCCTCAGCTGAGACTCGTCCTTTTTCACCTTTACCGGGCCTCTGGCTTCCACCATTGAAGCCTCTCTGGCATTTACTCCTCTTCTCCACTTTCATGACCATCGCCCTCCGGTCCATTCTTTACTTTTCTGTGGGACTAATCTTGTGAGTATCCCTCACTCAGAACCCCTCAGTGGTTTCTTATCGTTTTCTTTCCTAGTCCAGATCCCTCCTGCTGATGTCTTGGCACCCAGACTCTGCGTTTTCCCAGCATAGATATACTTCCTGCATCAGAAGACCTTCTGTCCTGGCCACTGCCTCTCCACCTTTGCTAATGTTCCTTCCCCTGTCTGAAGCGCCCTCCCCTCCTCCCCCCATGGGAAAAATCTTGCCCTTCCTTTGGTCAGCTCTGCTGGCTGCTCAGGTCTCCACCCATCCCTCCCTCCTGTTCTGGAGGGAGAGCCCAGCCCTTAGTGGCTCTCTGCTTGTTTTGAGGGAACTGTGGATTTTTCCTCACCTATTGGACTATATGCTCCTGGAAAGTGGGGTGGGCTGATTCCCCTGATTCCTTCTCAGCTCCCAGCCCCAGACTGACTGATGGGGTGGAGCTCGACACACCATCCTTGGGGGTGCTGGAGAGGGCCCTGCCTGGGAGTGTGTATGTGTGTATTTTGCTAATTGTTCCAGGCTCCCTAATTTTGCCTCTATCCTGATACCTGTCCCTAGGGGAAGAGAGGTCAGGAGTCATTATTTTAAAAATAGTTCCATGAGATTCCGATGCACAGTGAGGGCTGAGAAGCAGTGCTGTCATCACACTAGGTTGCTCACACTTCCCAGGGGAAGAAAAGAACATTTATTGATTGATTGTCAGGCAGTATCCAAGTTCTCACAGACTCCAGTTAATCTTCAAAACCTGCCTGTGAGGTGGGTGTTTCTTCTCTTTACTTATAAAGAAACTGTGAAAGGTGACATAGCTAATCAGAGCCAGGATATAGTTTGGACCACTCCGCCTGCACAACCCTTCTCTTTCTGCCTTTTCTTCTCTCACTTTTACTTTCCAGTCCTTTTGTCTTTGTTTCCTCTGCCAGAAATTCATTCACTGCCCCTACCTCCTATTCTGTCTGAATCTGTGAGATCAAGTGCATATGCCAGCTTCTTCCTTTTTCCAGCCCGGGTTCACCCTCTTGCATGATCCCAAGGAACTTGGTGTGTGCTTCTGCAGTAGCTATCCTGGCCCCCAGCACAGAGTATGTGCTCCATTAGGGTAGAGTCCAAGAGTTTTTAGTGGTGAACTTGCCTATAGCACTCCCAGGTGAGGCCATGAGGGGCCATGAAGTCTCCACAGGAGCTCCTGTTCAGGAAGGAGCTAAGGGCCTAGAGCAGGGAAAGTGCCCACAGTGAAGGGGTGCTGAGGAGGACAGGGCAGTGGCTGTGGAGATGCCTGCTTTCTTCTACCCTTCCTCAGCAGCCATGTGACAATCCTGGAGGATGATTCTGATCATATGAATCTGGGGCAGGCTGGTGTGGGTAGGGGCAGGAAGGCTGCTAAATGGTGACCTAGCTTACCCCAGGCCCACCAGCCTTTAGGGCTTGGGGTAGATAGAGGTGAAGGTAACTGGAAGCCTCTAGCTCTACCTGTAGCAGGCTAGAATATACAGGCAAAGCTCCTGGCTGTGAAGCTGCCCTCCCCTGGGCATAGCAGTGGAAGGGATGGGGCCCTGTTGGGTGGAGGGTTTAGCCACTACCCTGCCCCCTAGGATAATGGATGCTGTATTAGTTTTTTTCTTTCCATTTTTTTTTGTTGTTGTTGCTGCCATAACAAATTACTATAAACTTAGTGACTTCCAACAACACAGATTTATTATCTTACATTTATGTAGATCAGAAAGCTGACACAGGTCTCATTGGGATGAAGTCAAGGTGTGATAGACTTGCTTTTCCTTCTGAAAGCTCTAGGGGAGAATCTGTTTCCTTGCTTTTTGCAGCTTATAGAAACTGCTCACATTCCTTGGCTTGTGGCCCCTTCCTCCATCTTCAAAGCCAGCAACATTGTATCTTTTGGAGCATTCTTCTGTAGTCACATCTCCCACCAACCACAGAAAGTTTCTCGGGTTTAAAGGGCCCACATGATTGATTGAGCCCACCCAGATACTCTGGGATAATCTCCCAAGTCCTTAATTTTATCCACAAAATCTTTTTAACCATGTAAGGCAATATATTCACAGATTCTGAGAATTAGGATGTGGACATTTTTGGAGGTCATTATTTTGCCTACCACAGATAACAGTGAGGATCTGGGAAATGTCCCTTTGGCTACAGAGTGGGGCACTCCAAGGGTCTGGTCAGCTCTGCCCAGGTACGTACATCACCAGACAGAGGACTGGGAGAGAGGGGGCTGCACATGAAGCGCATACTGTGTGAAGCATGGCACATGGACTGTTTTAATCCTCACAGCAACCAGGTGAGATATGTCCACTTTACAGAAGCAGCAGAGCTCGGAAAGGCTAATTATCTAGCCCAAGCCTCCATGCCTGGCTTTTTCTTGGATACCACATGTCTTCTTGTTGGGGTATGCCCAGGAGAGAGGCCATGTTAACCAGGGTGTTTCTTTCTTGGTGATGCCTATGGAATGGGTAATGTAGGCAGGGGACAAGCAGTCTGTCGGCACAACAACTGTCCTATACTGTGGCCAAAATGACCATGGGCCAAACCTTCATGAGTAACTCGAGGGTTAGCTAAACTTTGGGAATTCAGATGGACCCAAACATGGGAACCTGGAACCTAAACATGTGATAGGATGCTTAGACCAGCCCAGTGCTCTGGGATGGATTGGGGTGTGTTCAGCAGTTGGAATTTTCTATTCCCAACAGAGAAGTAGCCACCCCTACCACACCTTAAGCCTGTGTCTGAGTCCGTGTGAGTAGCTGTCTCTAGGATCTCTCCCTGAAAATTATAGTGACTAATCTATACTCTTCATATTTTCTACAGTGAGCATGGATTAGCTTTATAACCTGAAAAAATCTGGACGATGAATATTATTTGAAAATGGCACTGAATCCTTCCTTGTTGGGACCTTGGGCAAGCCAGTTTATTTTCCTGCCTCAGTTTCCTCAACTGCAAATGCACGTTATGATTCCCTAGGACATCAAATATGAGAACCATAAAAAGCAGAAGTAATGCTTATTTTTATTGGATACCCTTCTCTCCCACTGTTAACTTGGTTCTCAAGCCTTGGCCTGGGCTCCCTGGAGTAACTGGGCTGAGGCCCTTCTTGTGTCCATTGTGAGTTGAACAGAACCAAGGCTGTGACTTGCCCCACTGTGAGAATCCACTGCTTGAAGCCATAGAGCCCAGCCCTAGTGAGTTTGAGTCCAAGTTCCTTGCTAAGTAAAAGCAACAGACTTTTTTGAGTATATTGTGTACGAGGGCCTGTTTGGGTTATACAGGGGTCAAGGATGACACAGACTAGTCTCTTCCACAGCAGAGGTTCTGGGAATGGGAGCTGCCTGACCATCTTCTCCTGAACCCTCTGGGAGGCCACCAGAATCTTGGACAGTACTTGGTTGGTGACATACTTTCCCTTTTTAGGTCCCAGTTTCTTTGTTTGTAGAATGAAGAGGTTCATGTAAGTGGTATAACACTATGTACCAGACACTGTGCTGGGCCCTGGAGACAGTGATGAATCTGGCTGGTCCTATGCTCCAGGGGCCTTCTAACTATGACTATCTGTTTCAGGGGTTCCGGACTCAGGTTCGGAGTAGGAGCCCATTTTCTTTCTTTGCCGTTTGAAGAATTCCCTTCTTTTATTTTTGTTTGCCCCCTGCCCTTTTTTTTAATCTCTTACATTTCCTTTCTTCTTTACACAGGGCCGTGAATGCTAAGTGACTTCTCAGGTTCTGTCAGGTTGTGGATCAGAACTGAGGCCTGCTTCCGGCAGGTAGGTGTTCATCAAGTCTGAATCAGAGCAGAATGGTTGAGTTCTTACATATGCTGGTCTGCTACCCCTGCACTGTTGGAGGATGCATGTGGCATATCTGGTGCTCCCTCTCCTCGGGCCCCTCACTGCCTATGCCAGATGACAATGGGATTGACCTCTAGTGGCCAGGATTCTTTTCCTACTGCCCGCCCCCACCTCCACCTCTTGACAAAAGTCTTGTTGTAGGAGGAAATTTGGTCCTTCTAATGGTTTATTTCCTCACTGGACGGGTAGTTTTTTGTTTTTTTTTTTTTGGTGAGGGAAGGCAGGGGAGACTGTATTCACATTTGGGGAAAACCAGAAGCAAGTTCGAGTTTCTCATCAGTTGTGAAAAACATATGTTCTTTTGAGAAAGATGGTTATGGTCAGACTAGGGTAAGGTGGTTAGAAGCCAGCCCTATGAACACTAGCAGTTCCTCACCTGGGTGACTACCAGCAGCCAAAGAGCCTCTTTCTGAGTAGAGCCCTTCAAATGGCTCATGAGGGATTAACAGGGGTAAGGGCCACCTCGACTGTTCTAAGTAAATGGCATTTTAAAGACTTCACCTCTCTTTTAATGCTGTAATCTTCTGTGACTTTCTAGACCGTGGTGACCCATTTAGGGAAGAGCAATAATTATATGCAGCTAAAAATAAATCTTATATTTCCTCCCCAGGGCTGGGAGATTTGGAGAGAGTATGATGAGGGTATATGAGGGAGAAATAACGGTGTTAAAGTGATCAGTTCTCAAGGTGGCTTTGAGAACCTTGCGGTCCCTAGCTTCAGCATTACCTGTGAGGTCCTGAGCCTTAAGCTGGGTGGTGGTGGTGGTGGTGGTGTGGTGGGGGTGAGGGGGGCGCCGCCAAGCTGCGTGACTTTCCTTTGAATCCTTCTTCCTTCTACCCTTGTTTACAGAGAGAAGAGTAAAAGTCCCTTATTGCAGCCCCTCCTCCTCTGGCATCTTTAGTCTGAAAGCACCCACCCCGGAGGCACTGGTGCCTGGAGCTGGGTGGGCAGCGCACTTACTGTCTCCACCCCGTGTGTTGCTGCCTAGAAGTGCCCACCTGCGGGGCGAGGCACAGAGGAAGTTTCAGAAGAGGCGGAGGTGGCCACAGTGGAGGCTGTTCAGTGACCTGTGGTCCGACTGGAGGAGAGGTGAGACGGGTGGTTTGGGCAAGGCTGGGCCGGGGCAGCCCGGAGCCCATAGCCCACATCCATCCTCACCCCAGGAGTCCAAGTGGGGAGCAGCCCAGGAAACCCCAACAAACTGCTTAAGGGGTAGGGGCTCAGTGCTCTGGTAGGGATGAGCGCCCCCATCATCCCTTTAGTCAGGGCCCTGGGCACCGATCCTCTGTCCACTGTGACAGAGACGAATTCAAATTAAAGGTCGTTGCTTCAAGTCAAGGTAAAGGCAACATGTTTATTTTTGTTAAAGAACAAATGGTGGTGGCGGCAGGGGCATGGATGGATCTGTTAAAAGTTAACAGATCAGAGTAGAATGAGGCTGGAATAAAAGTTGTAAGGAGCTTGAGTTGCCAGCTCTTTCTCCATTGCAGGGAGAATTGCATAGTTTTGCAGAGCTGGAAGCAACTCTGCAGGAATGAGCTTGTTCGGCCCCACATTTTACAGGGAGCGTGGTGACCACAGGATGTATACACTCTCTGATTAGGTGGGTTAGAGGTGGACAGAGGAGCCAAAGGTGGTGACCCTGCCTGGTCTGCCCAGCTGAAGGCTGGTGGAAGAACTACACCGGGGGACCTGGGATCCAGGATCTAATTCAGTTCAACCCAAACTGATTGAGTTCCTCCTATGTGCCTGCTGTCGTGTTTGATGCTGTGGCTTTGGAGTGAACCAGATGGACATTGGCCCTCTGCTTTCACGGGGCTCACAGTCGGCGGAGGAAGCTGGATTTTGAGTTGATTATCCGCAAGCGAAGTGTATGGTGCTGTGGGAATGTGCTGTGTGTGTGTTGGAGGTTACTATTTAGGGTTGGGGGTCAGGAAGGCTTCCTGGAGTAAGGGGCTTTTTGGCTGATGTTGAGTAGCATCTGAATAAAGTGGAGCCCAGTGAATAGAGCTTCTGAATCTGGATCAAGAGATTCAGGGATCCAGGGCTGAATAGGTGCCCAATAATAAATGTTGAATGAACAAACAACTGAACAAGGAGGGAAGGAGTTCCAAGCAACTCAGATAAAGTCATTCAGATAAAGAAGCTCAGATAAAGTAATTCTGGTTGGAGCCTGGGAGGTCAAGGGGGAGTGGTGTGAGATGGACCCAGAAAGGTTTATGTGCAGTGACAGAGCCTCGTGCCTGAGGGAAGGAGGCAGCCACTGAACGGTCTAAAGTAGGCATCTGGGATTTGCCACAGAAGCCGGCAGCCAAAGGGACCTGGAGAGCAGGGACAGATCCTTTCGGTGTCCATGTTGCCCATGGTGCCTGACTCCTCTACTATCATTCATTGACGGAGGGATAAATTGACTCGTTTAGGACTTTTAAAAATCTGGGCCATTTCCTTTCAAGGTGCCATGGAGTTGGGCCCTTTACACCTGAACTGAGCTGAAAGGACCAGGTGGGCCTGAGGTCGTGAGCACCTCAGCTCATACTGTTTGGACCTGGGATGCCTTGTGTGACGTTCACAGCAGACCTGAGCTGGAGTAGGAGAGAGAGCCAGAGACCCAGGGAGGACTCTTCCTGGCTTGGCTGTGCCTCTGTGCGTGGTCAGTGAGGAGGGTCCCTGCCTGAGATTGCCTAGAGGCTAATGATAAGCAGATTTGACTCGGGCCTTCTTACATCTAGAGTTTTAATAATTTTTGAACCAAGAACCAAACGGCCAGGAGAGAGTCGCCCAATGTGTCAGTCTTAGTGTCTGTATTATTTGGTTTTGTTGTAGCCATGGTAACGAGGGTCGAAGACACAAGAAACGTATTAACACATTAAGATCCATTTTGGTCTTTAAAGAAGGGAGATGAAAGGAAGCTGTGCTGGCATGGGGGACCTTGGAGGATCCAGCGACTACTTCTGTGTCTAAGACTCTCTTCCTTTGCCTCCTAGTGCTATGGTCCCACAACTCCAGGCTCCTGGACAGGCACATCTCCACCGAGTTGCAGCTCCCTCACCCTGGGCGCTCCCACCACAGCCCGGTAGTGGCCAGCAGGGCCTGTCTCTCTGGACTCCTGTGTTCTGGGTGCTGGTTCTGGCTTTCCAAACAGAGACACCTCTCCCGTAATGACTGGAGGAGCCAGGCCAAGATCCTGACCCTTCGGACTTGAAGGACGGCCATTTCTATCCTCCATGTGCTGGTCTGGCCTTGTCAGGCCCAATCCAGGAGAAGAAGCTCAATCAAAACCAGTGCTGATTCTTCTCTTTCCAAGAAGTGACTTTGGGTTTTCCAGCAATGCTTGGGGTAGGTGTACAGTAATGTAATGAACTGTATGAAAATATTTGTAAATATTAGATTATGTGAAAAAAATTAAATGCCTTTTTTTGTGTGTAGATTTTTTTCTCATAATGTGTATATATCACCGCTTCACTCCCAGGCCCTATTCCTGGGCCGTCCTGCAACTTTGGATCCTGACCCACTTTTCCTTCCTTCCTGCTGCTCTTCTCCCCATTCACTCCTGGTTCTGGATCCAGGGGAGTCAGTAGGCTATATGGGGCCTTTGTTCTGCTCCCCTCTATTCAAGGTCTGATGAGTACGGTTCTTCCTGTACTCTTGTCAAGTGCTTTCATTATGTGTAATATGTGAGTGTGTCACTGACGTGCTAAGGACTGGATGGACAGGTAGGCTTTGTCAGGTGCTGTGCAAGAAAGTCATTTTCAAATGCTCCCTGCTCCTGTCTTGTGATTTGTTTATTATTTATATGTCTATGTCTTTTCCAAATAAAATCTTATGGGGAATCTCTATATAAAATGAATAAGAGTAGAACTGTACCAGTTGAGTCTGAAATGGGAACTTTTAGCCTTGTCCAACTGATCTAGAACCCTCCTCCTCCCACCCGTACCCTGCTCCCACCGTGTTTCCAGACCAGTCTCCCACATGTGGCAAGGTTTCCCTCTGGGCCTCCTGGGCCTTTTAATAGCTCACAATCCAGAGGGTCTTCCTAGGAATTGGGTAGGGTCGGTATGAAGTGGATGTCTTTGTCCCTAACCTGGTTTAGGGTTAGCTGGAGTGCCTGGGTTTGCAGCTCTGTGGCCTTCCCTTCCTTTCCAGAGGCTTTCTTGCGGGTTCATTCTCAGTCGTTCTCAGGGCCCAGAAGCTCTTCGGGGGTCTCATGGAAAGAATGATGTGTTGGCCCTCAGGATCATGTCCACTAGCCTATACTGCAGGGTCGGAGGACTAATCTTTCCCAGATTTCTTTGCTGCTATGACAGATTCTCCTAATGAGATATACTTATGTGAAGTTGGAAGGCAGAAGACCTTTCTCTTCAGTAGTGGTGGCAGTTATGTGCAGGTTCCAGCAGACACAAGTTTGTGCAGTGGCCAGGCTCTACATCCCACTGTTTAGGCCTCTGCTTCGCGAGCCTGGTGTAGTGGTGAGTTGTATGGTTTTCTGCAGCTTTCTGACCTCAAGTTACAGCTGCTCTGGTGCCCAGTGTCAGCCCTCTTGCTTC